TATTTATTATTATTTTATGTGTGTACTGTCAAATTGGATCTGACTGGTACAGGAGGCGATTATTCCTCCTTCTTCAGCAGAGCATCTGGTGGACTTGAACCATGCACCTCTGGGATTGCAGTGCAGCTTCCTGCCACTAGGCCACCAGAGCTCGCCTAAATTTTTTGTTTTTATGTTTCATTTATTTCAAGTGAACATGGTCACTTAGGAGCAGAGAGAAAGAGAATGACACACTTGTGCACCATTGTGGTCTGCTTGTCCCCACTGCTGTCCATTCCTGTGTCTTCGCTTCATTTACTCTGGAGTTAAAGGAAAAACCATTAAGAAACATTAGTGAGTATTCAGTATTTGCAGAAAGTAAGTTTCTAATCCTTCACAGTTTCTCCTCACTCTCTAAAGTCCCAAAAATAGACTTGACTTTGGCCTCAGGGACGATAACACCCTTTCTCTCCTCTGCCTGTCACCCTACTTTTCCCAGATCTTGCTAGTCTCCTCTTAGCACTATATCTACATTGTCATTTGTCCCTACTTGTCACCCGCCACACTAGAGAAAAGATGGCTGGATTCAAGGACTAGATCTAGGAACAGAAACACAATCCCTCTTCTGCTTGAGTACTAACTCATCTCCTGATAGAATGGGAGGACTTTCTAAAATGAGGCCCCAACTCCAATTCTCCTAGACGTGGATTAAGGTGTCACGTAGTTCCTTTTCTCCCTAAGTTATCCATCCTTTTCACCTGCAGATGAGATGTTCATACATACGCATGAGGGCTTGTTCCTGCTCTCCTGACCTGGCTCAAATACAAGCACTGACTGCCACCTTTCCACAGCTGCCCACCACACCCTGAGCCAGCAGCTCCTACCTGGAAGATTCAGGGTGGCCAATGGTCCAACTAAGAAAACATGGCCAGCACAGAGTCCGTATCTGTCCTGACCCAAGAGCACTCCTCACTATGGAGGTCCTGTCTCCCCTGACCCCTCGATACCCAGCAGGCTCTCAAGCTGCACTTGGACCTCCACTGCTGTTGAACTTTTCACTCAGTCACTGGACATCTAATTGACCTTATCTGAGTAAACACATACAAAGTGTTCTGGAATAAAAAAAATTAAGGAGGACTTTGAAAAATTAGCACATGCCTGTCACACCTTTTCCAGACAAATGCCACCACTGGTTTAGGACACACCCCTTCTGTCCCTTGGGGAACCTGAGCTTCATTCTTTCTCTGGGTTATGTATTTAATTTACTTTATGATAAAACATAAAATTAATTTCCTTTATTCTCTTTTCCACTCTCCTCAATCAATCTGATTGCTAGTGATCCCTTACTTCACATTTGCAGGCCTATGACACCAGGAGAGAGAGGAAGTAGATCAGAAAGGACAAGAGGAGGCCACAGAATGCAGAAAAATGACCCCAGTATATGTCCCCTCTGAACCGTCCCTAGGGAGGATGAAGAGGAAACCCTGAGGCAGAACAAAACCATAGCCCCCCTGAGGTGTACTGCTCTGTCTTCCCAAATTGCTTAGAACATCTGCTCATCTTCTCTTCACTTCTGTCACAAGGAAGCAGAAGGAACGTAAAGACACGAGGGGAACTTTAACAGAGAGCACAGAGCATGTTTTCCAAAGGAAATCAAACCCAAGACTCGGGTCTGCAGGAGAGAGCTGAGGGACTGCTGAATGCACAGAGGATGCCCAACACAGGAGCACAAAACTCAACTGTCTAAGTGAAGCCTGTCTTGTCAGGTTAGAAACTCCTTGGGTTTTTGTGGGTTTTTTTGTTTATTTGGGGGTTTTTTTTGGTCTTTTCACGATAGACAGGTAATATGACGACATCCTAACAAAGTTTAAGGGAGGCACATATCATAGAAAAGCATAAGCACCCAATCATCACACTTATGAACTGAAAGTGAATCATATTAAAAACTCTTATATGATTGTTCTCTCTGGTACCTCTGTTATCCAGGCCCTTGTCAATCAGCCCCTAAACATCCACCACATCTCATGTGATGAGAGATTGCTTAAGGGATGGAAAGAGAAAGTAGAGTACAGAGAGGAGCCTGGTTCTCATTCAGCCCCACCCCACCCTGGGAGCAAAGGGCTCAGGCTGAACATTTGAGGACTCTCATCTGGTCCTGGCTTTGGGAAGGACCGAAGGAAGGGTCTTATTGCAGATATGGCTCACAATTGTCTTTCCAAAAATCTCAGGTTTTTATCTCCTGTTATTTTTTCCATCTTTAACCAAGAAGAAAAGCCTCTTTCCTGGCAGGGACCTACCTACTGCCAATCATACTGCAGTTTTCTCACTTGAGCTTCCCACATGTGCTGATTTCTTCTTGCAATACCAAAAGACAATACCAGCAGCACCAAGAACAATAACAAAAGCAACAAAAATGATCATCCATGTTGACCAATGTCCTGGGGACCCTAAAAAACAAAAACAACAACCACAACAACTTTATTATATACCGGCTCTTCTTTCCTCCACCCTAGCCCCTAACTCCCAGGGTCAGAGCCTTCCAAGGTTGCCTGTACTCACCTAAGGTCTCTGGGTGTGTACTCTTCTTTCCATTGTGTTCCACACGGCAGCTGTACTTCTGTTCCTTTCCATGGGGAACCTTTATGGACACCCAGGTCTCATAGGTTCCATTTGCATGAGGCAGGACACACCCATGGAACTGGGAGTCCTGGCTGCTCAGAGGGTCCCCATCCTGCAGCCAGGTCAGTGAGATATTCCTGGGATAGAAACCAGAAGCCTGGCACTTCAGGGTGACACTGTCCGCTGTGGTGTTAATGTGGCTCACATTCACCACTGGGGACACTGGGAAGAGAGAGGTTAGAACCTGTGAGACACGCGGCCAAGCTTTGCTTCCAAGTCTGAGTGAGACAGAACATGGCTGATCCTCTCCACATTCACATTCCTGCTCTGAGCAGAAGGCTCATTTAGCCACTAGCCCTCTGACTCCCTGCTGCACACAGTGTATTTGGGACCCTGGGATCACAATTTCTGAGACTGGCAGGAAGATGGGACCTCGGATTACCGTCCCTTTCTGTACCCACATGTTGATGCTGGAGGGAGAAGAACTAGGTGGTTCCTGGGTCATGGGGACTAAGAAGGAACTCTCCAGGCTGAGGCAAGCTGGCGCCAGAGGGGAAAGCCACGTGGCTGTGAGATCCTCCCAGACTGAGGGTCCTAACACTCAGCTTCCCAGGTCAGTGTTCTATCTGAGGGCCCACTGCTTTCCTGAATGTACCGGACATGTCATTTGTCTACCCATCTATGTGTGTCTAACCAGTAACTTTAACAGGACAAGCAACTCAGAACACAAAAGTGCCAATAAAGATCCACCAGATGCTCTTCCTGGAGAAGGAGGAACAATCTCCTCCTGTACCAGTCGGATCTGATTTGACGGTACACACACACACACACACACACACACACACACAATATAATAAAATAAAAAAAAAAGTGCCAATAAAGCACACATGGATCCCACAGGACAGAGAAGATTCGCTCAGGTAATACAGAATGAAGGGGACCCAGGGGATGAGGGCCCTTCTCCAGGCTTAGTACCTGTCCTCTCTGTGAAGTCTCTCCAGGTGGCCAGGTTTCGCAGTTTTTCACAAGCCTCGGCTTCCACATGGTGACTATAATCCTTGTGTTTATTCTCATCTTTATCCCAGGACTCCTTGATTTTCCGAGCCCAGGCCTGGGATGAGGAACTGAGCTCCATCCATTTCAGAGTCTCCGGGTCGTAGGATAGAAAGGGCTCCCCATTTAAACAGAATTCCCAGAAGGCTCTGGTGGTGTTGTCTTCCATGATCTCACAGCCCCGCATCTCCTGGAGGGAATGCAAACCTGCCCCCACCCAGTAAAGTGTGGTTAAAATGTAAGTATAATAAAGTTAAATTAGCTCTCCGCTGTAAAAAGCTAAAGATCTAAAGTAAATAAACTACTAAAGTGACTTTACTAAATAATGAACCCACAATAGCTGAGACACAAACTGGGATTAGATACCCCACTATGCTCAGCCCTAAACTATGGTATTTAGTAACAAAAATGCCCGCCAGAGAACTACAAGCCAGTGCTTAAAACTCAAAGGACTTGGCAGTGCTTCATATCCCACTAGAGGAGCCTGTTACATAATCGATAAACCCCGATACACCCTACCATCAC